AGATCTGATGCCTCTAATGATCCCCAAGGTCACACTCTTGGGGGTGAACCTTTGCCGGGTTCTGACCCCTCTGAGGCATCCAGGAGACGGTAATGTCACTTTACTGTGCTTTAATATTAATTGAGTATATCAATCCATCCTCAGATGGACATTCGAACTGAAATGATTTCTTAAGGTAGCTATCAGGTGACTAAATAATGGAGTTGTAGGTCTGTCATTTTTCTTTTGCGTCTTACTTATATTTCTTTACCTGTAGGATTGACTGACTGAGTGTTATCTTCAGCTAAAAAGAAAAGGGAGAAAAAAATTATTGGAAAAAAGTTTCTTTCTTGTTTCTTTTGTTTTTTGCTTTGTTTCTTTTCTTGTTTAATTTTACCACGGAAGAGTGGTTAATTTTTATTTTATATATATATATATATACACTCAATATATAGCTTGCATATAACCTTTGTAATGCTGAATGAATAATTAATAAATAGAAGATAAGGGTAACAAAACATGTCCTTCGTTTGCTTGATACTGCTCTACCATGGAAACAGAATACACGCCTTTTGTCTTGGTCTGAAGACATAGCAACTTCTGTCTGACAAATAGCGGTCACCTAAATATAGCTGATCAAATTTTGTTCCAAGGGACAATTTGTTTCTAATTTGAAACATTGCTTGCTATTGCCTTGATTAAATTTGTGTTCTATCGTGGCAAAATAAAAGCTATACCAATGGTGACAGCGTTATGTAGTAAATAATCACTGTGTAAAGGAACCTATCAATGGGACTATTCTTCTTGCAGAGAGAGAGGTGCCCGAGCTCTGGAAGAAAGGTTGGCTGCCAAGATGTTGGCGACTTCACACAGTGCTGGAGAGTCACGAACTGATGCTGCTGAGAATGTATGATTCCGATTTCTTTAGATTATGCAGATTGTTGGTGTTGTAGAAAACTCGCTGGAAGAATTTGATGTGGCCACCTCACGGCCACATGGGAGGTATTGGTGACCAGGAAGAAGCTTTCAAAATTGAGATCGGGCCCGTGGAACTTCGAAATAAATGTTACTAATTTGCATTTTAATCCAATTCTTTTCTTTTTTTTGGGTCTTTTCAAAATGTAGTTTATGATGTTCACATTTGAACCTCACATAAGTAATCCACTAACAGAAATACCGTCATTGTGTATATTTACTAAATAGCCTCTTAGAATTGTTAATTTCCCCAACCCCCACTCTCTGGTCTCTTGCCTTAGCCCATGTAGAATTCTTGCCAGAAGAACCAAATCAACGTGACAAGACCTTAGATATTCTGTTCTATCACAGTATTTTGCCAAAGAAACGCTTTTTCTGGAAAATCATGAATGCCGCAGTTTACTAGTAGAGAACATGCAGTTGAATCATAATAAAGAGCACCTGTTATCCAATATCCAATCTTAGACTATTAGAGTACTTGGCCCAAAAAAAAAACGACTTTTTTTCTGCGAACAAAAAAAGAATATATACTAGACTAATGTCGTGACAAAATTGCCGCACTGTGACTTCGAAACTAGCAGGGGCATTTGAAAAAAAAAAAATGTTTTTACGCAAGTTGATATAATACTTTTCTTCCATATTTGTAGTGCCTTTTTTACATGTTTTGAATTCTGCAAATCACTTTTAAAACTAATCTAAACACTTCCAAATCCAAAGCGTAGAGAGAGAAGCATGTTTAACTGAGACAAATGGCATGTCTAGGTGGAAAGTCATTGGTTAGAAATCATGTTAATGTTTGCACCTTTGCGGAGAACAACCGCACCTTAAAATTTAAGAAGGTGCATCTAGCATTTTGATCCTTTTTCATAGAATATTTAGCACCTGATCTTATTGTTTTGATATATTCAGCATTCCTAATTTTACTTTTTAAATTACATTCAATGTTCTAATTCTAATTTAGAATACTGAATATACTATTTTAAAAAAAGATTGGAGTGTTTTACTTGAGAAAAAAGTGGGTAGAGAATAAGCACCATTGTTTTCGCTTTTATCATTTTTATCAAAACACGCGGCCTTATGTTTTTGTCAAAAACTGGCAATACATAGGGGTGTTTGGGTAAACCCAGAAACACTTTTTAGAATCACTTTTTAGTAAATCGAGACAAACTCCTCACATATTTATTTTGTATCCGTAAAACACTTTTAAAACATAGTTTTATTTCTACCTAAACACCTTGTCAGCTTAGTGTATCTACTGATTTCATACACTTGCAGGGCTGCACGCGATGTAGGTGTGTATAGTGCGTTTCAAATTCTTAGACAGGTGTATAAAGTGGGCGGATGAAGCCAATGGCAATGCTTGTGTCATTCTTGAGGAACAAAAAACCAGACCGGTTAGTAAACTGGTTAAGACATTGGTTAAGGATTAATGGGTTAGATCAAAGTCAGACCGAGTTAGACTAGTAATAATTAAAATAATTTAATTTAATTTAAATGTGTAAAAATATTCCTATTTTAACCCCAAAAAAGTAATACTTAATTATTAATTTATTTTTTTAATTCTCTCTCCTCTTCATACTTAAATTTTTTTTTTTCACTTTTATTTCACATCTTCTATTCTCATTCGTGTGGCTTGGTTTACTCTTTCAAGTTTTCATATTTTTGTTTTTGATCCACTCTTTCCCTCCTGCCACACGGATCCACTAAGTCACACACTGCCTGCTTTTTGTTTTACTGTTCTGCACTTGCAAGCCATGGACAACATGAGCTGAGTCTGTGAGTCAAATACTAAGATGAAGATAGATGGTACTGACAACCATGGAGTGCGAATGACGGTGACAGAGCAAGAAGTGAAGAGTGAGATGTCACAACCATGACTTAGCAACGACGAACACAGATGAGTTCTAGCATTTTAGACAGACTGGCAAAGAGATTTAGAGTTTCTTTTCTTTCTTTCAGTTTTTTCTCCAAATATTCACTGTGTTTAATTTTTTTAAACATGAAACAATGTTGTTTCTTGACGGTGGAAGATTGAAATCATTAAACCGAGTAACCCATCTTAACCAGCTGGTTACCTGGTTTTTACTGGTTCTTATTGGTTGAACATGAAACGATGTTGTTTCTTTTCCAACAATTGATGATATAATTTCTTTCAATTCTTCATAACTTGTGCCCTCCTTTATATTTGTTGTTCTTACACTACCTCTCACATATCTCATATCGTCTTCTCTATCATTTATAAACTTTCTCCCTATGTGAACAAAGCAAAATATATGATTTCCAGACATACTCGCCATTAGTAATTTAAACTTACATCAAGAATCACGCAATTGTCAATGGCAAATCAAGGAGTTACGTTGACAACAGTTATGGCACACATTAACAACTATCGCGGCATGATTGACAACACAATATCTCATTTTGTGCTAAAGGTTTCTACCCACACTAATTTTTATCTTTTTCTTCCTTTGCCACTAAACTAACATCAGAACAAAGCAAAACCACCCATAAGCAACCTAAAAAAAAGCACTCATAATCATCTACTACACACCTAACTTAAATTACCAACACACACCGACCGAAAACACAGCTTTCCCATCAATTAACTTGTAAATCCTACACACACAAAAAAAGCTTTGCAATACCAAAGGCAAAATGATTTTTTGATTTCCTATTTCCAAAAAAATACACAATCTGTTAAGAAAGGTAGGAGAGGAGAGGAAAGAAAGTTCCAGACCTGAAGATTTGTGGAGATTCACATAAAAGAGTTCACTAATGGTAATGAAGAAGATACCTCATCATCAATGGCTCCTTCCTTCTTTCGCAATGTCTTCTCTCTCAACCATACTGCGCAGGAAACTTCTCACCCAACTCACAGTCTTTGTTTCTGATAGCTAGGACAAGAGAGTCGTTTCAACATTCTGAAAATTACATTTAAGTCCCTTTAGGACTTCAAAACAATTATGACATTTCATGGGACCTTTTTTGCTGTATATTTAGTTCTATGGGACCTTAATGTCATTTTTCCATAGATAAACGTATGATATCAGTCTTCTTATCCCACACGGAGGGAGAGCCTAGTGCCTCCCTACTTTAAAAAATTAATTTAATGCTGGTAAAAAAAAAGGTATTATTTTAATGGGATAATTGCAAAAAAAAATATTTTTAAAATTTCAAAATTCTAAATTAGGATTGATTATAAAAATATGTTGTTATTTATTTTTTAAATATTGTCAATTGTTATTAAAGTGTCATACACAAGACTTATTTAAAATTTTAAAATTCAAAAGTTTTTTTTTTGGAGATTCTTCCAATTTTAATCTTAGGGTTTAAAAAATATATTTTTAATTTTTTAAACTTAATACTGTTACGAAAATTGCTAAAGTCAACAATTTTAAAATGACGACTCAGACACCCAACATTTAAATACTGACATATTAATTTTTAATATGTTAATTTAAAAATATTTAAAATAAAACCTTTTTAGCAACAATTTGTGCAGAGTTTAAAAATTATAAAATAAATAATTTTCTTCCCTTATTTTGATCATTGAAAAAAATTATCTAATCAATCTTGCAATTTTCTATTAAAACATTTCAAAATTACAATTATTTTAAGGATTACCATTATTATTAACTTTTATACTGTAATATAGTTTTGATGAAAATCAAACCATAGTTTTATAACATATGAAGTAAATATGTAAAAAAAATTTACCTTGATTTGTAAAAAAATGTTTTTAAAAAACACTTGTAAAGATAACCAACACACCATCCAGCATCATGATTTCAAAAGCCCATCCATGATTTCAAAAGCCGATCATCAACCAAAACTGTTTTTAATAGAAGGCACTAGTAGAAGAACCTAGGGCCTAATTTTTTAGGCCCGCCTTTACTTTTAAATAACTTTTTTATATTCAAATAAAGTGAGCGTTTCAGAACAACTGCAACCAGAACCGCCCTCAATTGTGACAACGATGCAATTCTCCACTACCGGGCCCCATAGGCTGCCATATCTCATCAGTTTGGTGTGCTTACTAAGCCATCTATACAATTTTCCCTCTTTTTTGATGAAGACTGAGCATCTCTCTTAAAAAGATAAAAAAAAGATTATGCACCAGAAGTATACATCTAGAGGCACTTTGGGCAGAAAAAGTTTTACAAATTTTATACACAAATATCAAGTCATTTTATCAGAGAACTTCTGATCCTTGTAATCTCTGCTAAACATAGCAGCACAACATAAAAAATCGCCAAATTTCCGGCCTTAAGAATTTCACTTCAGAGCTTTACAACTGTCGTGTGGAAAAGTAAGGTGATCTGTCCAACTCAAATTGTATCCGTCAACTTTCAAGTGATTCTCCGGCAAAATATTGTTTATGCACCATTCTCCTGTAATCTGCAAAGCATTAAGCATTAAATTATACATCCCACGTTTAAATTTCTATAATCAGAAAATCTACATGCCTCATCATCGCAAATATTAAGAGCCCAATGAAGCACAAAAGTGTTTGTTTAATAAGTATTTGCACTCAACATGATGCAACACTCCCAAGAAGTACAAGAACACTGGGACACTTCATGGTGTTCTTGTACTATCTAATGTTCGAGCTTCAAGCTTAGAAGATAGAGAACCAAAATTCTACTACCCTCCGGAATATGGTAATGGAGCTTCAAAAGATTTCAGGAACCATAACTGTTGTCATGGATCTATCGTAGTACTTAATACAAATGAGAAACTCCTAGCTAACAAGATAGAACCAGGAGTTAGCCATCGAAAAATGAATATCAAACTATGAAGTCGTAAGAGGCCATCTTCAAACACTCCATGAAACAACAACAAAACCAAAGGTTGGCAAATTTGACAAAAAAGAAGTCAACCTTCTTTATTGTTCCAAAGCGTCGCGGCATAGCTGTTTAAAGGGCTCTCTGGGTTAGGCTCTGCCACAAGAAAGTAATTTGATCAGGCAAACAAATGCTGAGACGCCGATGCAAAATTCATGAATAGGAAAACGCCAACTGACCTCCTAATAAACTTTGAATTGACAGAAGAATAGTTCTACAATCATAAGCTGAAGACCATTTGTCCTACAAAGACAAAATAAGGCTTCAATTGGCTCTGGAACAATGTACGTAGTTGCATAATAATCAAAGAAGATATATCTAAAAAAACGGAAGGTCCAAAACCTTCAATAAACAAGCAGTGGCTTCAATTTTTTCAATTCCTTTTATAAGCTAGTCAGTACCTGAAGAATGTCAAGGCAAATGTTGCCAAACTGGTCAACATTTGGATGAAAGCACATGGTCTCAAACTTTACTTGGGGCGGCTTAAAAGGATAGTCCAGGGGAAACCGTAAGGAGAGTTTATACGATAAACCCTCATATATAGTTCCTTTTCCACCTTCAATCGTGCCAATCCATGTAAAAATGCTCTCACCATCAGGAAAAGCTGATACTCCAAGATCTCCACCGCTCATCTGAAGAGAAAAGTCATCATTTATAATAGCACCTTATGACAAATAATATCCACCATAGTCAACTGTTAAACCTTAGCTTCTTAATATTCAAGCACACTCAGCGGAAGATTTTAGGTCCATTTGTGGTTAAATGCAGACTTCATGACAAAATGCTAAAAGGACCAAAAATCTCAAAGAAAGATATAATCTTATGCTAAAATTGCAACTTGAATTTCCGAGGGATTATCAGCAATCAACTCATAATTTGAAGCTCATAAGCATCAAGACATTTCCAGCTAGACAGCATGCAAGCAAAGTAGATTGCAGAGTCATTGCCACATTCCAGAAAACAAGCTATAAGATCACCTATTACAAGAGTGTGATATAAATATAGCATCCCGGGGGGGGGGGGGAGGAGAGGAAGCTGCGAATAACAAGAATTCCAAACCAAAAAAAAAAAAAAAAAAGGTCCTTGGGAGCAGTTCACAATTGCATGTATTAATTATTTGAAATATCATTCCAATAACCTCTCACCCATCAACGCACAGCGGACTAACAAGCAGACGTACATCTATCAATAACCATCAGAAAATTAGTCTGTTATAGCTAGCTCACAAGAAATAAATCATAAATTTCTGAGGGTGTTGTCACTAAAAGGGCGGAATGCGAAAATCAGATAGTAAATTCATGTTCACTTATTCAGAGACGCAATAAAAGTCCACAGTCCACACGTGCCCAATGATATGAAATTGAGGCAGAAATATCAAGGCAGACGGAATCTTAATAACTAAATGCCCCAAACCCCTGCTACCAGGGAAAGCTTGATAAGAGAAGACATCACGGCACTGACTTCAAGCTAAACCGAAAAAGAGAGACAGAGACGCATACCATGAGTGACATCAACTCCTTCTGCAGTCTGCAATCATACCAAAAAGAATAAAAGCATCACTCCAAGGCAGACGAGAAAAAAGCTCATTTTAGAAACTTTAAACTGGGAAGATGTCAGTAAAAGTTAAGGTTCGGGTATCATCTGGCGATGTGAAGCGTGACCAAAGTGACCAAATTTTTAATTCAAATTCATATGATGTCAAGAAGGCAAGATAATCCCACAATCAAAGTCCCCCACAATCGTTAGATTAAATTTCGCAAAACAGCATATAAATTGAAAATTACAGTATGTGATTTCAGTAACATCAGCCAAATCCATTTCTTTTTAGAAAAGGAGATTCAGAACCATAACTTGTAAAAGGCTTGATAAAGTTCCGGCCATTCCGGAGGATCAAAGAGAAGAACAGAGAAATCATGAAATAAAAAAGAGATTGATTAAACCTCTGGGAAACAGAGGTGGTGTCCACAGGGTGAGGAGAAGCAGATGGTGGGTTAGATGGATGTTCGGGCGCGTGATGGTGACGATGCTGCTGCTGCGGGATCGACAAGTAGTCGGAGCTGGAGTTGGACGGGACCTCCATGGCAGCGATCGAATTCAAGATCAAGACGACTAAGGCCCAAGATGATGACGAAGGATCGATAGAAGGCCAAGATTCAATCTCCAGAAAGCGGGAACCAGAGAAAGAGAGGGAGTTTGCTTCCCAGAAACGACTTGTGAAACTAGGAAGATGGGAATTGGTTTTCGACTTTCCGTTTCAGATTTCGCAGTGGAGACTGGTGGGGACTGATTGTTGCGTTTCATTCTTCTTGACAATTTTTTCCCATTTTTTTCATTTCTTAAATTATTAAAAGTTTAATATTAATTTTAGTCTTTTAGATCTATCTTCATCTTGGTTTTGATCTCTCAAATTTCAAATTATAAGTTTTGATTACTCAAATTTCTTTTTATTTAAAAGATTGGTCCCTATAATCTAATAAAAATTTAGATCATTTTACCGTTAAGGGATCAAAACATGTAGTTTGAAATTTAAGGTACTAATGCCAAAATAAGAACAAACTTGAAGGACCAAAAATTATATTAACCCATTATTAAACTAATCTAACTTTAATTGTCATTTTTTATGAAATTATACTTTTCATTTATTTTTCTTATATATAATATTTTCAAAAAATTTCATATTTTTATTAATTTTTTAATTTTAATATTCTTTTTCAATTCCATCTTCTTTTCTTACAACCTTCGAATGCATTTTTTGGATCATCTTTAGCCTCTAAAACTTGAATTCCTTTTAATTTTGATTTCAAAACCCAGGGATTTTGGTTTTAGGAACCAAAAATGCTATTTTAAAAACTAAAAATATTTAGACGTTTAGGATCAAAACCACTCTAATTTCAAAAATTATAATTAAAAGGAAATCGAATTTCGGATATTGTCCACCACAATTAGAGTAATTCTCCCAAAAAAAATTTTTGTATTCACATATATTAAATTTAAAATCTTGTGTTTAAGTAATCAAATCTTCTTTCACTGAAACCAATGCCTATTCGGCCCTTCAAAATCCAAACGTAATTTTTGATATGAAGAGGAGAGAACTCAAACTGGCTTAGGAGCTCCACCCCGATCAATGAAAAATGACAAAAAGAACAGGTTTCTAAGCTAAAATATTCTCTATACTTTGATTTTGACAGGGTGGTGGAATATTGACAGTAAATTTTTTTTTAAAAAAAAAAAGTTCATTGTGGGACTATATTGCTAAAGATTAAAATAGCCAATAAATGTGAGAATTAGCTTATTAAATCAACTAACTACTCCTCCAGTCTTTAATATAAGATCTAATTATTGAGTTGATTTTGGTCCTAAATATAAGCCATATTTTTCATATTTATTAATTTTTCCTAAATTACCCATGTGTATACTCACTCAATTATAATCAAATAGAAGAAAGAAATGGGATATTAAAGAAGATGATTGCAGTGTTTTAGAAAAACATGTCATATTTTTTATAATTAACTAACTTACCTAATTTTCTTAATCTAATCAAATTAGTTAAATAGGTCTTATACTCCTCCGGTTCTTAATATAAGACCTAATTGTTGAGTTGGTTTTGGTCCTAAATATAAGACCCATTTCTCATATTTATCAATTTTCTCTAAATTATCCCTATGGATACTCCCTCAATCATAATCAAGTAGAAGAGGGAGAGGGGTATTAAGAAAGATGATTATGGTGTTTCAGAAAAAACGTGTCACATTTCTTATAATTAACTAACTTACCTAACTCTCTTAATCTAATTAAATTAGTTAAATAGATCTTATATTAAGAATAGAAAGAGTATAATCATATTGATATGTTGTATCTCACTGGCCCTTTCTAAAGCGATAAAAGATTAATAACACAGGAATGAATGTGCTATATCATAAATAAAACAAAAAACATAAATCTCTAATATTAAAATCACACACACACACACACACACACACACATATATATATATATAAAGTAAAAAGGAGCACACTATTATTGATTTCTTACACTCCACGCAGTATATAGTCAAAAAGTAAAAATCATCTAAAGTCTAGATCATCGACGACATGATGAGGCTTGTTAGGTGAATGGACGGGATGATCTTGGTGAGGAGGCACCATTTGGATGCCATGGGGCTGCGTTGTAGGGAAGGATGGCCCTTCTTCAACGTCCCAACGGTCATATTGGCGGGCATTGGGCATGGGAGACGTTGGAGCGCTGTCGCTTCGGCCATGGTACTTGTGCAGAAGATGAACTGGCGAGAGCCCAAGGGCAGGGCTTGCCGCTGTACTACTGTTCGATAATGACGTGTTTGCCTTCGAATGTTTGCTGTCTTTAACGTTCTTTTTGGCTGATTCGTGCCAGTTCTTCAGCGCTGTTGCTACTTTGTTGTTGAATATTGTGGGCTTCATGCTCGATCCCATCTGTATTTCTCCAATCATAATTAGCTGATATTACTTTCAATTCTTAATACAAGATCTCGTTCGATTTTTATTTTGATCTTAAATATAAGACTAATCTACTTTGTTTCTCATATTGATTTATTTTTTCTCAAGATGACCCTTCTAATAATGATAGTTCTAGCCAATAAACTTAATTAGCAACGATATTTTAGAAAAAAAATAATATTTATTTATTACAAATAATTAACTTAATTTATTTCTTTAATTTACTCAAACTACTTAACTAGCTTTTATATTTAGGACCAGGGGTCGTATTTCTTATCTAAGCATCTAATTAAATTATTTTTATTTTAAATCCATTAATTGTGGTTTAAAAAAATCCGATGTTATGTGACTCAAACAAATATGACATACCTCCACTTTATGCTCAGCGCAAGGGCTACTCTAGGCTATAGCTAGTTTGGATAGATCATGATAACAAAAATAACATTTAGGTTCTTCCTAAAATATTCTCACATAAATGTTTGATAATATACGAGCTTATAACTTAGGTAAATCAATTTGAAAAAATGATAAATATGATAAATAAAGTAGATTAAAATATTATATTTAGAATCAAATTTAATTATCTATAACTAACTCTTGTATTAGAAATAAAAGAGAGAATATATATTATGGGGATCAAGTTAGCCAAATACTCCATTTGTCCTTTTTTATATGAAACAACTATCCTCTTTATTTTTGTCTCAGATTTTCTTAGCTAATTTCATATTTTTTTCTTATTGATTACTTATTTTAATATTCAACATATTTATCAGCTCATTTTTTTGAAGCATCATGCCTTCATTTTCTTATTTTCTCTGTTATACTCCAAGGTATTTGAAGGAAAAAAATTTCAATTTTTACCTATTTATTCTTTTTAATTAATTTTAACTAATTTTTTAATCTACATTATTTAATCAATTATTGTTTATAAAAATGGATGGAGGAAGTATTGAGTACGGATTAGTTAGGGCATGTTACCTGAGTAACAAGAGCGTAAAGGGGCAAAGTCACATAGCTGCATAGAACTTGTATGAGGATCCTGGAAATAAAAATATTTAGATAAATTAAAGAAGTTAGTTAAATTAATAATTATTATCACAAGTTAGTGAGATTAATTATTTGTTTTGTACAAGAAATTGGTTAATAATAATGGATAGTTTAATTTACCCGGTTGTGAGTTTAATCACGATGTCTGCTGTTGTTTCATGGAAGCACGACCTTAAGCTGAACGCAAACTGAAGCATCATGAAACGCAGAATAAGAGCTATTGCATTTAGATGGTACTCCTCATTATCCTCGTATTACTAGTAAAAGTTTTAAATATTATATTCGATCTTTAATATAAAAACTAATTTGACATTTAACTAAATCGTCAATATAATACTCTAATTCATTTTATATCTTATATTTATTTTTTTTCAAAGTAATTTTTGTAATAGTTGCATATAGTAAATGTTTTATCAAATAGTAGTTTTAGCTAATATACATAATTATTAAGAGTATTTTAGAGAAGACAACACCTGTTTAATGCAAATAACTGAATTAATTAATTTTCTTAGTATACTCAGATTAGTCAACTAGCTCTTATAATTAGAACAAAAAATAATATAATATTTTAGTCTATTTATTGGTCTCTCAAGTCTTCATATTAATTCTTATCAACCGCAAATGATTAAAAATGATATTTTGACAAAAGAACATACTTTTTTAAATAAAAAACTAAATTAATTTTTGTCTACAAATTAGTTATAAAGACCATCTATTGAAAAGGCACTGATAGAATGCTTCCTCAAGATGAGATACTTACAGCTGACCAAGCGAAAAATGCAAGCTGAAATGCATTCTACAAGAGGCAAAAAAAAAAAGAAAAGAAATTAATAAGGCAGGCTTAATAAAATAGTACTACCTCTGGTCCTTAATATAAGATCCTGTTTGATTTTTATTTTGGTCCTAAATATAAGACCCAAATCTATTTTGTCTCTCATATTTACTCAATTTTTTTTCAAGATAATCCTTCTAATAATTATAGTTCTAGTTAATGCATTTAATTAGCAAAGATATTTTAGAAAAAACAACACCTATTTAGGATAAATAACTAACTCAACTTACTTCCTTAATCTCCTCAAATTAGTCAACTGGCTCTTATAATTAGGATCGGCAGTAGTAATTTCCAAGAACATGGAAAAATAATGAATATATATATGTGTGGAAAAAAAGAATGAAGGGACCTGAAAGAGGACAAAGTGAATCAAGTTGAGAAGAAAGCGAGGGCGGTTGAACCAGAAGAGATTATCACCAGGTTCCACCACCGGCGCGCCCTTCACCACCGCCCCTCTCTCTTGGATCCTCAATCCCATCTTTGATATTATCATTTGCAGCTTCGCCCCCACCATTAATATTATCTGCATCCATTCATTCATTCATATTAACCAACATGTCTCTTAATTAATCCTTCTATAATCGTTCTCAATTATCATTCAAAAGAATATATATATATATATATATATATGTGTGTGTGTGTGTGCATATATATAGTGTTGGGTGTGCTTACAATTAATGGGATGAATGGCAGCCACAGATAAGCGTCCCACCCTGTGCAAACAAATTATTACAATATCATTAAGCACTTGTACATCT